CCGAAAAATAAATTTTTAAATTTGATTTGATTTTAAAATTAAGATTCTTTCATTTTTTCTTTAATAGGGGCCCTTTCCAATTTTTCTCTTTAAAGGAAAACTGATTTTTAAATTAAAAGGCCCCTATTACCCTCATTTGTTATTTTATTTTTCTTAGTTTCTATTAATTTTTAAAATTTCCCCAGCCCCCAAACCCAAAAACTTTTGGAAAATAAAAATTTCCGTACTAGGAAAAAAAATTTCTGAAAGAGGTTAAAGTCCCGGGTTTTTCCCTTTAAATTTCCCGTTTATAAAACGTATTTGTTTTATAAAGTAACTTTACAAAGGGTTAAATTTTAAAATAAATTGAATCTTGAACAATTGGGGGAAATGCACTTTATAAACACTTACTCGCTTAATAATTCTTTTCGATTTCAAATCAATACACCCTACCTGGAATTAGTCAGAGATTCTGATTCGCAATTTCACTCACACCAATTTTACCATTAAAACTTTAAATCTATATACAAAGCCGTATTTCTATATATGCCTATCTCATGGATAATTATAAAATGTCCCAATATTCCCCTCCCCCTGGTAATGGAATATGTCAAATGATTGGGTGGAAAAAACTCTTCATATGATTTAAGACTTTATTCCCAAATAATTGTAAGAGCTTTGTAATCGAGGTCACCAAAGATAGGAAAATGAAAATGGCTAAAATTGAGCTGAAGAAATCAATTATTCGTGAAAAAATGTCCCGGGGACAGAGCACCCCAAGGTGACCATATCTGCATTTTAATACAAAAATTGCAGGCATGATAAAAACTTTAGATTAATTATGCTTTGTTTTTAAATGTCATGAGTTTTCGCGATGTTGAAAAATATTTCTTTGATGTTTTTTTTTTTGCTTTTACCGCTCAGGTTGTGTTTTGGTAGCTATGTAAAGTAGATTAAACGTTTTAGAAATGGTAGTTTTTGCAGTTCAATAATATATCAGATACGTTCAACAAATCATTTTTTTGGGAGGGCAAAAGGGGTAAAAAAGATACGGGTGTTTTTTTTTTGAAAAAATCCCCAGCGTCCAAAACAAAAATCTTAAAAGGGGAAAGCTTTCGGGGGGTTAATTTGTGTCCACAAAAAACCCTAAAAATTTAAAACTTTTGGTTTAAATACGTTTATATTAAAATTTTTGTCCTTTGGTTTCAGCCAACTTATTGGGTTAACAAATTTTAAAAAAAATTTTCGGGGGAAACCAAGGTTTGGTTAGTTTTTCCCAAAACTTTTTAGGGAAAGATAATAAAAGGATGAAAAGCGGCCAAATAGCTCATTTTGGTAAAAGCTCCCAGAAAGGGGAATTTGGGAGGGTCCCCGGGGTTAAAACCCCTGGTCGGGCTTGCACTTTTTCTCTCCCCCGGGTGACCATCTAATATTATACATAATTTTTAAAATTTTTTTGGAAAAATTTCCCGGGAAAACCTTTATATTGGGTTAAAAACTTACCATTACAGGGTATCCAGGAACTTGAATTTTCTATAAAATAACCAAATTTTAAATTTGAAAAAAATTATCAAAAATACCCCCTATTTTATAAAAATAAACAAAAGGAATAAAACCCCTTTTTCCCCAACCCCAAAACAAAAATTTTCCCGAACAAATCAAAAAAAAAAACCCGGGAAATCAAAATTTTCAAATCGGGCCATTTCGATAACAATACATAAATGCATAAAATACCAACCGATAATTTTTAAAATCGCTTTAGCTATATTGGGAAAAATTCAACTTTTTCCCTGATTTTTTCCTCCGTTTTATTTTTGTCCCCCGACCCCAAATTGGGGTGAACCTTTCATTTGGTTTTTGTTTAAAAGGAAATAATATTTATTAAAATTTTTTTTAAATAAAGTTCCAAAAAAATAACAGGTATGATTTTTCTTTTTAAACTTTTATACAAATTATTCTATGTAAATAGATTTAAACATCTTCAAACAAAACCTTTTTAACAAATTACTTTTATAAATACATTTGAAAGGGAAACCCCAAACAAGAAACGATAAATCTTTGAAATAGTACTTTCGTTTTAAAAAAAAAATTTTAGTACCCTATTTGATATGGCCCAGCAAATAAATTCAGCCATGTCGTAAGAAAGAAATCAGTCATTTGTTCTAGTTTGACAGTATTTTACTTGCAAACTTGTTATTTTTGGAACTTGTTAAAAAATAATTTTAACTAAATATTATTCTCCTCGAATCAAACATCCAGTGACGTCACGAAATGGAGTCAGCGACAAAAACTCAGATCGTGGGAAATAATCAGAAAATGTTGAATTAATTCCTACATAGCTACGCAATTAAAAAAAGTTATCGGTGGTATTTGATTTTATTTTTGTTTTTTCAAAAGGCCAATATATTTTTTGATCTTTTGTTTTGTTAAATTTGTTGGGGCGAAAATTATTTTTTTGGGGGGGGAAAAGGCGTTTTTTCCCTTGTTTTTATTTTAGTATATAGGAGGTAATTGGATTTATCAAAAAATTGGTTTAAATTTGATAAAATTTAAAGTTCTGTGAAATGTTTTTAAATATTTTTTACATTTTTTTGGGAAAAAATTTTAACCATTTAATTTTAAACCCTGCCCAAACCCCTGGGAAAAGGCCTTTATAAAGCTGATAACAACCCCAAATAAATGATAAATTTTCTTTTTAAAAAGTACCAATCAACGTTTTAAAAATTGGGAAAAATATTGTTTTTTTAGTTCAAAAATTTACCTCCCTTCTCTTTTCCGGTGATCAGGTAAAAAAGTAGAACATGAGGATTTCCATACACATGTTTCCAAAATTCTACAATCTTTTGAAAAATAGTGTCAATCACAACCCTGCCTCGTAGAATAGACACTGGATCTAGCTGTTTTACGTCTCTTAACTTCTTTTTATTTAAAAAAAAAAAATTCTTGCAAATAACAACAGTGTGTTGGGGGGGGGGGGGGGGGTTGACGGGGGGTGCAAACAAAGTTCATTAAAAATTTGCTTTTAAAAATATAATTATCCTCCAAAACATTTAAAATAAAATTTAATGTATGGTGTTTTTGTTTAGATATCTGCTGAGCTTTCAGTCATAAAATTTGGCCAGTTTCAAACACTGTTCAAATGCCTTAATTGAGAAAATTTGCAGTACTTTGTAAGTAAATCCAGAGATGTAGATATTGTTATCTTTGTAGATGACTCTGGTATACCCAACAAATCTATTACATTGACAAAAATCATAAGGGATTGTTTAAAATTTAGCCATGGACATTGGGGACCAAATAATGTAATGCAACATCTATTAGGCAAGCTGATGATAAGTTTTTTCATTTATTAGACTTAGTAAATCATGTAAATTGTTGTCAGTTTCCAACAGGGAGTAAAATTTACTACAGAATTTTGATATGTTGGTTAAGAACTAATCCTGGGGCTGTTTCGGAGTGACATGTATACAGTGTAGGTATTGTCACCTCTTTCCAACTAACAAAGAGTTGCATATGTTTTATTTGTCAATATATGATAAGAAAATCTGGCTTACATCTTTACAGGGCTTTATTGATGTTATGAAAGCAGATTTAAGATGTAAAACAAACAACAAAATGACTTGATAAATAACATTTAATACTTTACCACTGTATTGTATTAAAGATTATGTGATATGGCTTTATTTGTATTTTATCTTAATACTGACAATTTCTTATGTATGATTTTGTGATAGTGTCTTGGGTTATATAATATCATAAATATGATATCCTTTGAACTATTTAGGGCAGTTTACTTTGTTTCAGATTTTGTAGTAAATATCTTTGAAACTAATTTTTAGATAGAAGTGGAAACTGGTAAGGGCTGTTTTTTTCCAGACTACTATTTTATTTACTGGTAAAAACTGGTCACTGGCAAAAACTGGTTACTAGTGCACAAGGATTTTATGGACCTTATAAACAAGATACAATGCATTTGTGTATAATCACATTGTTTTGCTTACACATGTGTTCATTATATCATTTGCATACAGGTTTAAAGCTTTCCAGCAGACATATAGAAGTCAGTGATTTTCCTGCTTATACAACAGACTCCGATAAAAGGCCTCTTCCCAACTGGAATTTTTTTTAACAATCATGCAGTTTTCCCAAAAACTTAAATCTACTTTTTTACTTCCCAAATTAGCAATTTTAGCAATAATTTTCCCCAAAATCAAGTGGCTTAAAGGCCTCTTCCCAATTAAGTATGAATAATCACTGAAGAAGTCTTGGTACAGGTGATAATCCAGTGATATTTTTCATAATCAAATAGTGATGTTAAATTGTATTAATTTATTTACTCGTATAAGTATGGTTTATAGCCCTTTTTTTCTTTCATAAGTTAATAAGCAGACCAGTTCAAAATTGCAAAGGAATGCCTGCTTTTTCCCTGATTGAAAATTGTTCCAAATTCCATTTATTATTCAAATTGTTTCAAATTCTATTTGTTATTGAAATTCATTATAAGGCTGTTTTTGCTGCTGGTTTATTTTCCCAATTTTCCTACATTTCGTCATGTCACATGTCTCAGAATATTCCCAATTAGATGAGCTGAAGACCCTAGACCCATTCCCAAATATGAAAAGCATAAAAACAATTGTTGGAAAAAATACCACATACAACATCACATCTTGCAAAGCATGCATATAAATGATGGCATGAGTGATACCTACTGTTTTAGTGTAAGATTGAAATAAGTTTCACTTAGTCAACTTTGCAGAACAATAAAAGGTGTAGCAGTACGTTAACTGTGATAATTTTCATCAATACATTGAACATTGATTATGTCAGCAGGGTTTTCATTTTTATCTGAGGCAACAGATGCTCCAAAGAAAACAACTGATTTTGCCAAAGGTGAAGGGTTATACTTTAATATGAAGGCTGAAAATACAACCGATTTAAACAGCATTTTTACTGATGGTTTAAATTGCCAATCGGTTAATAATGAAAACCCTGTGTCAGCTGTGCTATAAGGTTCAAGCTCATCATTTTCTTGTTTTAATTTAGGCATGGTGTAGTTGGCCTGATGAATTATTTGAAGAGATGGACAGCACCCTTGCCGTGCAGCAATTTATACAACAGTCTATTGCACGAGATGCCTCGTGCGTTGATGAGATACTTACTCCACCAGATGGTCAAGATGAAGGTGTCTGGAAATATGAACATCTCAGGTATTGTGAATGATTAGAAACAAAATTGTAATTACATTCTTTATCTTAAATCAAAAGTTTTCTAACTTTCAGAGATATTTACATAAATTTAGTATATTTTTTCATAATAACATAGGTTTGTTCCCTGTTTTTGTGGTGAAAGGGATCACAGGACGAGGTCAAAATATAATTATAATTGAATTAGCATTTGATAACTTCTGAAAACTTGAAAAAGATTTTGTTGTCTAAGAAATATGTATAATTCATTATTATCATACTTTTCTGCACCTTATATTGTTTTGCCAATAAGTTACCTTGCAGTGAAAATGTACATTGTAATTTTTGTATATGTTTTGCCAATTAAATATTTGTCTTTGACTTAAGTATCTAAACATGTTGATAGGCATCAGTGGTAGAGCTAAGAAGGGGGAATTTCATCATATAGAGAAGCTTTTTGTAATTTGTCTATAAATAAGCTGAGTAGCTTTTGGTCAGGGATACCCTGGTGGAAACAGAGTAAAGTCTGGGAACTTAAGGCTTCTAAGCATAACTGAACAGATGTCGTTGGTCTGCACTGACTGTCTTGGAAAGTGGCACAGATCCTTATTAAACATGAACAAAGTGTTTTGCTGTACTTCTCTTTGCATAATTTATCTTTATCTCTAATATTCTGTTGACACAGTGCAGGGCATGCGTGTTGTGTAAAAAGATCTTGTTATTGCTAAATAGGGAGCAGTTGATATTTCTGTAATATTTGTCAAACTTATTGTACTATCATTTATTGAACTATCATTTATCTACTCCATGTTTCAGGCAATTTTGTATGGAATTGAATGGATTGGCTGTAAAGTTACAGGTATAGTTAACATTTCTATATTCAAGGCTGCAGATAACATGCGTATTTGCGTTATTACCCAATTAAAATTTTTAAAAACCCAATAGAAATAATAACTATGGGTAAGAAAAAGTAAATTAATTCTTATTTATGCAAACTACATTTGAACTGGTGCGTAATGACGTAAATTATTACTTAACGCGTACATCAGGCAGATCATATATACTGTGTCAGACTGTTTTAACCTTTAAATTATATCAGGCAGCTTTGAAATCTCCTAGGCCAATAAACCATAAAGCAAAGTAGTAAGTAGCTTTTTTATAACCATACAAAACCTACAACAGTCTACAATGTAGGTCAGAAATTTTGGGTAAAATACATGAACTTGTGCTTTATAACCCAAATTGGTTAGAGAGGGTAGGGTAAGAAATACAGAAATAACTTAAAGAAAATAGAAAAAACCCAGTAGATCACAAAACAAGGTAATTACCCAAATACACAAAATGTTATCTGTAGCCCTGTATATTTATGGTAGAACCCTGCCTTACAATGGTCAATCACCCTGTTTTCATGATCAGTCATCTATTATGACCAATTTTTCAAAAAAAAATAATTTTTATGCCCCCCAATAAGGGGAGGTATAATGTTTTTGTAGCATCTGTCTTTCCATCCATCCTTCTGTTAAGACATTTGGGTATTTTGTTGGCTACAGGAACAATAGATAACTGTATTTTATCTTTGATGTCATTCATTTCATTAGTGGGGTTCTACTTTAGTAATTTATATAAAAAGAACAAAAAAAGCAACAAAAAAAACAACAACAAAAAACATCATGGTTATCTCAAATGAGTCCGGTGAACCTTTCTATTTTTAGCTCACCTGAGCTTGCTCAGGGTGAGCTTTTAGGATCGATGAATGTCCGTCGTCCGTCCGGCCGTCCACAATTGCTTGTGAACACTCTAGCGGTCGCATTTTTGCCTCAATCATCATCAAACTTGGTCAGGATGCTTATCTAGTTGAAAGCTCTTGCTCAGGGTGAGCTTTTAGGATCGATGAATGTCCGTCGTCCGTCGTCCGTCCGGCCGTCCACAATTGCTTGTGAACACTCTAGCGGTCGCATTTTTGCCTCAATCATCATCAAACTTGGTCAGGATGCTTATCTAGTTGAAAGCTCGGATGAGTTTCGAACATGGGTCATCTCAGATGAAAAACTAGGTCACAAGAGCTAAAAATAGAAAAACCTTGTGAACACTCTAGAGGTCACATTTTTGACCCAATCATCATCAAACTTGGTCAGGATGTTTGTCTAGGTGATAGCTCGGATGAGTTCGAACATGGTCATCTCGGATGAAAAAGTAGGTCACAGGAGCTATAAAATAAAAACCTTGTGAACACTCTAGTGGTCACATTTTTGAACAATCATCATCAAACTTGTCAGAATGCTTGTCTAGTCAATTGCTTGGATGAGTTCGAACATGGGTCATCTCTGATGAAAAACTAGGTCACAGGAGCTAAAATAGAAAAAACCTTGTGACCACTCTAGTGGTCACATTTTTGACCCAATCATCATCAACTTTGTCAGGATGCTTGTTTAGATAATAGCTCGGATGAGTTCGAATATGGGTCATCTCGGATGAAAAACTAGGTCACCTGAGCTATAAATAGAAAAACCTTGTTAACACTCTAGCGGTCACATTTTTGCATCAATCGTCATCAAACTTGGTCAGGATGCTTATCTAGTTGATAGCTTGGATGAGTTCGAACATGGGTCATCTCGGATGAAAAAAGTAGGTCACCGGAGCTAAAATAGAAAAACTTGTTAAACACTTTAGCGGTCACATTTTTGCATCAATCATCATCAAACTTGATCAAGATGCTTGTCTAGGTAATAACTCCAATGAGTTCGAACATGGGTCATCTCGGATGAAAAACTAGGTCACAGGAGCTAAAATAGAAAAACCTTGTTAACTCTAGTGGTCACAATTTTGACTCAATTGTCATCAAACTTGGTCAGGAAACTTGTCTAGGTCATTGCTGGGAATAAATCGAACATGGGACATCTCGGATGAAAAAACTAGGTCACAGGAGCTAAAAATAGAAAAATCTTGTTAACACTCTAGTGGCTACTGTTGTGATCAAATATTCTGTTAATTGGTCTGAAAGTTTGTTTTGATGATTTCTAAGTCAAGATCGAACATGGGTCATCTTGGATGAAAAACTAGGTCACACCGCCAAATATGGAAAACCTTGTTAACATTCTAGTGGTCACATTTTCGACTCATTATCATCAAACTTGGTCAGAATGCTTGTCTAGGTAATTGCTTGGATGAGTTCGAAATCGCATGTGAAACTAGGTCACCGGAGCTAAAATAGAAAATCTTGTTAACACTCTAGTTGCTACTGTTTTGATCCAAGTATCCTGGAAATTGGTCTGAAAGTTTGTTTTGATGATTTCTAGGTCAAGTTTGAATATGTGTCACCTGGGTAAAAAACTAGGTCGCACTGCTCAAATATGGATAATCCTTGTTAACACTGTAGTGGTCACATTTTTGACTCACCTGTCATGAGACTTGGTCAGAATGCTTGTCTAGGTAATTGTTTGGATGAGTTTGATAATTCAGGTGAGCGATCTAGGGCCATCATGGCCCTCTTGTTCTCATATACGTTTATATATTTATTAATGAAAACTAATTATGAATGATATCAATGATGTTAATTAAATATAAAGGTTGAAATGACTCTAATTTCAGAAAATGTATATGTCTAATAGAAAAGATATTATTTTCAACATAATTAACTTATCATTTCCTGAAATGTATAATTTTACATTAAATGATTAATAAATTGAGTGCAGTCAATACAGGCAATGTTTAAACATGAATAAGATATGTATTCTTATCAAACTCAAAACAATTCAAAGTCACGTATATTAATTATGTATTCCCTTCAACTGGGAATGAAAAGTTCAATATTGAATGGCAGGTGAATTCCTTTATACATATTTGAGCCGTGTCATGACAAAACCAACAAAGTGTGTTTGTGACCAACATGGATCCAGACCAGCCTGCGCATCCGCGCAGTCTGATCAGGATCCATGCTGTTCGCCTACAAACTCTTAACAAGTAGAGAAACTGATAGCGAACAGCATGGATCCAGATTAGACTGTGCGGATGCGCAGGCTGGTTTGGATCCATGCTGGTCGCAAACGCACTATGTTGGTTTTGTCATGACACGGCTCATTTATTGATGGGGAAAGTGGGCTATTTATTTGATTGTTTTTTTTATATTATATTCAGAGTGAATGTAACCCTGAGACATGTACACAGATGACTGCTACAGAACAGTGGATATTTCTCTGTGCTGCACACAAGACGCCAAAAGAGGTAACATCCTACATTTAAAGCATTGTTCACACCCTTTAGACTAGTGCCAATAATAATGACATTTTATAATTGGATAGTAAAGATATTCTCAAGTACACAATCTTAGTTATTTTAGTTAATCTTAGGCACATACAATTCTGAGTATTGAATTAAAATGCCTAGATGTAAATAGTATAAAATATGTAGTCGAAACTGCAGTTTTTTAAAAAAAATATTTCATTTAACTTTTGAGTTGTGTATAGAAATATTGCTTCCAAACTGTAAGGAAAATTGTATACTGAACTAAGTTACATGTAGTTTTTAGGGGATGTCTGTGGCCGAGTGGTTAAGGTCTTCAAATCACTTACCCCTCTGGTGCTTTTTGTGCCTAAAAGGGTCTTCCTTCATCAACAAATCTGGCAAGTCGCCATATGACACTCCTTCAGTAGGACATAAAAACCAATAAAAAAACAAAACAAAAAAAAAACATGTAGTTTGTAAGTTTTATCAAGGGAAGTAATATAAATGTATAACCTCAATACAAGGAGCACAGTTGTTTCCCTTTGACTTAATTTTAATTGTGTTTTTCAGTGTCCAGCAATAGATTATACAAGACACACACTAGATGGCGCTGCTTGTTTGTTAAATAGCAATAAATATTTCCCAAGCAGGTAATGTTTTATACAATGTCTCTTTTATTAGTAAATAAATGTGTCCTGGGGAAATATTGACCAATATATCTTTGCATTAAGCTTAATATTTCAATCATTTTCTAGCAGACAGATTATCTTATATAATGTGTGTAGATTCTTTAACTAGGCATAAGTAAATGCCATTCCTATGATGATACCTTTAAATGATTTACAAATAGATTGGCCTTTGACATACCCTGTCTGTTTTGTATTGTTTTGAACTGAATTTTAACTGAAAGCATTATGTCTGTCCTTGACTGTAAGGTGAGAAGTTGCATAATAACCTTGACAATGTTGCTATGGTAACTTCAATTATTTCATTATTATTTTTAATTTCTATCATCAATAATGGCTTGCCTTTACCACCAGGTGTAACTGAATAATGTGTATCCAGCCTACATGTTCATGCAGTTTGAACTAAATATATACAAATAGTTGCTTAATTTTATCATTTTGATTGTGAAAACCCTCAAAATCTAAATACAGCATAGAGAAAGCATGTCATAAATGTAACTGTGAAAGATTTAAAATAAACTTAAAAGACAACAATAAAAAAAAAGAAAACAAAAAACAAAAGAGATCTAATAAGAGACTTTTTACATATATTTCAGAGTGAGTATAAAGGAATCATCAGTAAACAAGCTAGGATCTGTTTGTAGACGGGTGTACAGAATATTTTCACATGCTTATTTTCACCACAGGGCTCTGTTTGATGAATATGAGGTAAGTCTATGTTGAGAGGTGTATCAATCTTTTCATATTTTAAAGGTACATTTACCTTGAGGCAACCTAGATATATCCATCTTGAGGGTACATCCATATTTTGATCTTGGGAGTTACTGGTATTCTAATTTTCCCATTATAAAGGTGTATCAGTCTTCAGTCTTTACATCTTTTGGCATTTTATCTGTACATTATGTTGATACATACATATTTTCCATCTTTTGAATACATCTATATTTCAACCTTAAAGATATACTATGCTCAAATTTGATATCAGAAAATATAGATAATTGCTACACAGTCTCTTTGTAAATATGAAATAAACATGTTTTGACTTCACACAAAATAAGTATGTCATGTTTAAAACTCTACACACATAGATCGTCACAATATGAATATATAGTGTCGTTAAAAAAACTGGCAGTTTTTTGAAGAAAAGACTAATTTTACTTATCGTGTATTAAAGAAAGTGGCTTCCAAAATAGTTTATTATTCATCTTTTAGTTAAATTAGACATATTCAGTAAGAATTTCATAGGTTTTAATAAACTTCTCCGATTAAATTATTTTACTCAAAGATGAGCATAGTATATCTTTAAGGGTACAGCCATCTTTACATTTTAAGAGCATATTTCTTTCCATCTTGAGCCTTGAGGGTATATTCATTTTGAGGGCATATATCATTCCATGTTGAGAGTATATTCATCTTGAGGGTGTATATCTTTCCATGCTGAGTGTATATTCATCTTGAGGGAATATATCTCTATTCAATTTGAGGGCATATATCTATAGTGAGGTTACATTCATCTTGAGGGCATATATCTCTATAGTGAGTTACTTTCATCTTGAGGGCATATCTTTCCATTTTGTGAGTACATATATCAGGAGGGTCTATTGTTTAAATTAACTTGCAGTAGTTACAGGCCTTTGCCTTAAGCATAAGGGTTAGGCAGTACCAACCAGAGTGTCTTTGCAATCTGACCAGATTTGTGTACTTTAAGCTGATTAGTTTTAGTATTTCTATATTAATATCTTTTAAAATAACAATGGACTGATCCAAGTTCAGTGAATAACAAAGCTATAACACCAATTCAACAGTGTAAAGTTTAAGTTGTCTTGTAAACATTTCCTTTATTACTCTATCAAGGATAACATATTTTTCTTTTTTTTCAGAATAGACGTATTGTTAAGCGATTCAGGGTGGAAACAAAGTAAAACCCTTTATTTTAAAGCAATCTTTGTGCCTTTTTAGGGACCAAGAACCCCTAGCTGCCAAAAAGTAAAGCTAAATTCCCCTCCCCTTTTAGTAAACCTTCAGTATCGACTCGATGAATGTTATGCAATTCTGATATCCTTATCTTGCTGACTGTGTATCTGGTTATTTGTATATGGACATAATGATATAGGTCTATACTAAAAAGAAACAAAATTGAATTACTGCCCTTGTGTAAAATACCGGACTCTAATTTTTTCTACTAAATAATGGACATAATGTCAAAGATCTAATAACACTGAACAAAATAGAATTACTTCCTTTTAGTAAAATTACAATTACCAAAACATGGACATAATGTAAAAGGTCTAATAATACTAAAAAATTGAATTACTTCCCTTTAGTAAAATACCGGTATCTAATTTGTTCTACTAAATCATGGACATAATGTAAAAGGTCTTATAACACCATATAAAATTGAATTACTTCCCTGTAGTAAAAATCCAGTATCTAATTTGTCTACTAAAACATGGACATAATATAAAAGGTCTAATAACACCGAACAAAATTGAATTATTTCCCTTTAGTAAAAATCCAGTATCTAATTATAATGTACGTCATGCAGTTTTGTCAATCACATTTTTCAGTCTTTATCATCATGTATTCTTAAATGATCTCCTATATGATAGTTTAAGGGTAGACAGAATCAAAAGCAGTATGGTGGTAAACCTATTCTTGTATAACTTACAAGTTAAAAAGTACATTACTGGAAATTGTTTTATAGACGTCCTGTTTCTTAATTTGCCATGAGAATACATTCTGATTTTCTGTCATCATTTTACCTTTAAAGTCATCACAGGAGAATTAATTTACATTTTATTCTATGTTTATTATTGGTTAATTGCTGCATGTTCAGAGTGTTCAGAAAGGCATTTTTATTAGAATTTTGACTGGTTTTATATTTTCATCTAGAATCTGGATACAATATTATATAACATACACTGTCATAGATATATCAAATACTTATGGTACAATGTACATGTATAGAGAAAGATTATATGGAATGGGTTTTTTATGTGAAATATTTATTACAGATTTGAAATAGTAAAAAAAGCCCAATTATTTTTCTGGGGCGTGTGTAATGTGAGTGTATTATTATATGACAACAAATGTAAGATTCTTTTTGTCACATGATGAAGTAAGGCCTTAAGGCTAAAAGAAAAACCCTGCAAAATTATATTGTGGCATGCCATATTTAGAATGACATGTAATGGGTTTGCCTAGCTTTGAATATGGAACAATACATTCAAAGTTTAAGATATGTCAATAAAAAAGTGAGTTATCAGCAGTATAATACATGGTGAGACTGCACAGATGTACGAGCTGGCCTGGCTAAATATAGGTAGTACAGGCTAATCACGGTAAAAATCTACTTTCATACATATTAGGTATCATTTAGTGACTTACTGAATTCAAACTTTAGAGGTCACTTTTAGGTAGAGAGATATTAATCTTTAAGGGCATGGAAAGTGACATGTCCGTGGTTCATACTTTAAGTGCCTAAAAGGGCAGATGGACCCTCATTAAGCCTTGAATGCATACATAAATACATACATGATTTTAGGTTCTAGCCGGTTAAAGGTTTAATGTGTGATATAGGTAAACACATAATCTTTATATTTCAATTAAACAAGTGACTTCATGTGATAAAAAGAGATTTCATTTAATATTTAATTGTTATATGTTAAAAAGATTTACTTTGAGTGTTTAGTATTTGTATTGTATATGAATTTTCACAGACCTTATGTAGATTTTATATAATATACAAAAATGTATATGAATTTTCACATACTGTAGAAGTTTTTGTATAATAATATATGAATTTTCATGTAAATGACAGGTATTTAGTTGTGTATGTTATATGAATTTTCATATCCTATAGAAGGCTCTGAAGGTTTTCTATGATATAAGAATATATATTTCTGTAAGTAGAATTTAGTTCATTATTAAAAGTAAAAGTAATATAAAAGATATAAAAGCAGTAAGTATAATTGTATATCTTGAAATAGAATTATATATTATATGCATATTCTGTAAAAGGAAGAAAAATGTCTTCCTCCACCAAAATGGACAAGTTTCTAATGGTGTAGCTGTGTAGCTTGAAACCTAGCCTTGGTTCCAGTCTGTCAAATTTTTTTTTATGTGCTTCTGTTCTGCAAATCAATGACATCAACAAAAACACAAATGTGTACGAAAATAGCGCATATGTATGTTATGAATAACCAAAAATATCAATGCCTGAACCCCAGTCTACTTGAAAACCTACAATTATATATAAAAAATGTTTTTTCTTGAAAAGTGCTAAAATGAAAACGAGTAGATATTGCTGAATACAAGCAATATTGAATCAGAAATAAATTCTTGTTTTCTGTTATATTGAAATTTGTTTGAATTAATAAACATAATAAATTGTCTTATTCATATTTTGTTCTAAAATAGACATAAGATATTTATTGATTTTCTTATCTGAATGAAATAAATAATTTAGATTTATACTTACCTGTACATACAGATGTAGGCATTGTAAGCACAGATATAACCACACCGTGGGTTATTTTCACTTTACCTGCTGAAATTTATAAATGGACTTGTCCAAGCTGTATAACTCTGAACAAAATAGTCCATTTTAAAATGTAGGGATATCTGTACAGACTTTAACCTGCTGAAATTTAGTAATGGACTCGTCCAAATTATATTATAAAATTCTGAATAAAATACTCCATTTTAAAATTTAGGGATATCTGTATGAAAATAAGGACTTATTTGGATAATTTTTCTTGGTCGTGCAGGCTGACATGGCCTTGTTCCGATGACAAAAGTTGAATTTTCTTCCAGTATTGTAAAGATGATGAATAATATGGAAGTGGGATTGTAACATATCGTCTGTTGTATGAACTTGGTTCTCTTGATTTATTTATATATCTTCATATGAACAGTTTCCTATATTAATGGATATAATAATCTTGTAGATGTATTGTTGTTGCATGTATGTACATTTCATATTTATGTATTTTAATTGAAATAAAGAACAAGATGTATATAGTTAGTTGAATTTATTTTCTAAACTACAGAGAAAAAAGTGCATGTATCATTTTGATACCATGAAATGCAAGCTTTATATGCATATCATAACATTCTGAAAAACAATTAAATCACTTCTTCCCCTGCTGTAAGGACCATAGCTTCACATAAATGTTAATTCTTTAATATTAGCAATCTATCCAGGTAGCCCTTGGTTCGTTCTTCTTTGGTGCTTGCTCCTGTCTAATGATCAGGTGCATTGAGGGCACCTTAGGCACCAGTAAATAGAGGTATCTTATTAGCGTGAATTCATAAAGTTAAAGATGTTAAAGATATATCTGAGAAAAGTATAGCATCTATAGAAAACCAAAAATGGCGAGTGGCCTTTAATATAAAATGAGTATGTTTTATGATTATAGGGGGATACCTGTTCTAAAGACAATGGATTAACACAACTCACTTACTTTAAGACATAATTTTAAGTGCAAAGGCTTAAATCAACAGTTTAAGTGTAAGCCCAAACGCCTTAAGTGCGAATATAAAAATAAGCACATGTCAGTTTAAACTAAAGTCTGTTTTAGAGCAAAGACTAAAATTTAACACGGACAGTTCAAGCTCAAAAATACTAGGGCTTGAACTAACCGACAACTGCACTGTATGTTGAAGTCTCTTTTGATCGACGCAACTGCAGTGTTAGCCAAACCATCTTTAGTGCATTGAACAAACACAACTGCAGCGTTAGCTGAATTATCTGTTGTGT